TCGAGTGTCTGTGGAGTTTGAGTATGGGGTATTTCAGGACCAGTCTGGTTATCTTCAAGATAGACAAAAGTCTGGCCTACCTTGGACTGTGTGGTGAGTTTGAGTATGGGTTACATGCGGACCAGTCTGGTTCTCCTCAACATAGACAGAGGTCTGGCCTACCTTGGAGTGTCCGGTGAGTTTGAGAATGGGGACTATGCGGACAGTCCGGCTATCCTCAATATAGACAGAGGTTTAGCCTACATTGGAGTGTCTGGTGTGTTCGAGAATGGGGAATATGCGGACCAGTCTGGTTAACCTCAACATCGACAGAGGTTTGGCCTAACTTGGAGTGTCTGGTGGGGTGAGAATGGGGAATCTGAGGACCAGTCTGGTTCTCCTCAACCTAGACAGAGGTCTGGCCTACCTTGGAGTGTCTGGTGTGTTCGAGAATGGGGAATATGCTGACCAGTCTGGTTATCCTCATCAAAGACAGAGGTCTGGCCTACCCTGAAATGTCTCTTGAGTTTGAGTATTGGGAATATGCAGAACAGTCTGGTTATCCTCAACATAGACAGAGGTCTGGCCTAACTTGGAGTGTCTGGTGGGTTTGAGAATGAGGAATATGCGGAACAGTCTGGTTCTCGTCAACCTAGACAAAGGTCTGGCCTACCTTGGAGTGTCTGGTGTGTTCGAGAATGGGGAATATGCGGACCAGTCTGGCTATCCTCAACATAGACAGAGGTCTGGCCTACCGTGGAGTGTCTGGTGAGTTTGAGAATTGGGAATATGCGGACCAGTCTGGTTCTCCTCAACATAGACAGAGGTTTGGCCTAACTTGGAGTGTCTGGTGGGTTTGAGAATGAGGAATATGCGGAACAGTCTGGTTCTCGTCAACCTAGACAAAAGTCTGGCCTACCTTGGAGTGTCTGGTGTGTTCGAGAATGGGGAATATGCGGACCAGTCTGGCTATCCTCAACATAGACAGAGGTCTGGCCTACCTTGGAGTGTCTGGTGTGTTCGAGAATGGGGAATATGCGGACCAGTCTGGCTATCCTCAACATAGACAGAGGTCTGGCCTACCGTGGAGTGTCTGGTAAGTTTGAGTGTCTCGTGAGTTTGAGAATGGGGATATGCGGACCAGTCTGGTTCTCGTCAACCTAGACAAAGGTCTGGCCTACCTTGGAGTGTCTGGTGTGTTCGAGAATGGGGAATATGCGGACCAGTCTGGCTATCCTCAACATAGACAGAGGTCTGGCCTACCGTGGAGTGTCTGGTAAGTTTGAGTGTCTCGTGAGTTTGAGAATGGGGATATGCGGACCAGTCTGGTTATCCTCAACACAGACAGAAGTCTGGCCTAACCTGAAGTGTACGGTGAGTTTGAGAATGGTGAATATGCGGACCAGTCTGGTTCTCCTCAACATAGACAGAAGTCTGGCTTACCTTGGAGTGTCCGGTGAGTTTAAGATAGTGGACTATGCGGCCAGTCTGGCTATCCTTAACATAGACAGAGGTCTGGCCTGCATTGGAGTGTTTGGTGTGTTCGAGAATGGGGAATATGTGGACCAGTCTGGTTATCCTCAACATAGACAGAGGTCTGGCCTACTTTGGAGTGTCTGGTGAGATTGAGAATGGGGAATATGCGGACCAGTCTGGTTCTCCTCAACATAGACAGAAGTCTGGCTTACCTTGGAGTGACCGGTGAGTTTGAGATAGTGGACTATGCGGCCAGTCTGGCTATCCTTAACATAGACAGAGGTCTGGCCTGCATTGGAGTGTTTGATGTGTTCGAGAATGGGGAATATGTGGACCAGTCTGGTTATCCTCAACATAGACAGAGGTCTGGCCTATTTTGGAGTGTCTGGTGAGATTGAGAATTGGGAATATGCGGACCAGTCTGGTTCTCCTCAACATAGACAGAGGTCTGGCTTAGCTTGGAGTGTCCGGTGGGTTCGAGAATGGGAAATATGCGGAGCAGTCTGGCTATCCTCAACATAGACAGAGGTCTGGCCTACCGTGGAGTGTACGGTGAGTTTGAGAATGGGGAATATGCTGACCAGTCTGGTTCTGCTCAACATAGACAGAAGTCTGGCATACCTTGGAGTGTCCGGTGAGTTTGAGATAGGGGACTATGCGGCCAGTCTGGCTATCCTCAACATAGACAGAGGTCTGGCCTGCAGTGGAGTGTTTGGTGTGTTCGAGAATGGGGAATATGTGGACCAGTCTGGTTATCCTCAACATAGACAGAGGTCTGGCTTACTTTGGAGTGTCTGGTGAGATTGAGAATGGGGAATATGCGGACCAGTCTGGTTATCCTCAGCATAGACATAGATTTGGCCTACCTTGGAGTGTCTGGTGAGTTTGAGAATTGGGAATATGCGGACCAGTCTGGTTCTCCTCAACATAGACAGAGGTCTGGCTTAGCTTGGAGTGTCCGGTGAGTTTGAGAATGGGGACTATGCGGACCAGTCTGGCTATCCTCAACATAGACAGAGGTCTGGCCTACCTTGGAGTGTGTGGTGAGTTTGAGTATGGGGAATATGCGGACCAGTCTGGTTCTCTTCAACATAGACAGAGGTCCGGCCTACCTTGGATTGTCTGGTGTGTTTGAGTATGGGTTATATGCGGGTCAGTCTGGTTATCCTTAACATAGACATAGGTCCGGCCTATCTTGGAGTGTCTGGTGAGTTTGAGTATGGGGAATATGCGGACCAGTCTGGTCATCCTCAGCATAGACAGAGGTCTGTCCTACCTTGGAGTGTCTGGTGAGTTTGAGAATGGGGAATATGTGGACCATTCTGTTTATCCTCAACATAGTCAGAGGTCTGGCCTACCTTGGAGTGTCTGGTGAGTTCGAGAATGGGGAATATGCGGACCAGTCTGGTTATCCTCAACATAGACAGAGGTCTGCCCTACCTTGGAGTGTCTGGTGAATTTGAGAATGGGGAATATGCGGACCAGTATGGTTATCCTCAACATAGAAAGAGGTCTGGCCTACCGTGGAGTGTCTGGTGTTTTCGAGAATAGGGAATATTCGGACCAGTCTGGCCATCCTCAACATAGACAGAAGTCTGGCCTACCAGGGAGTGTCTGGTGTGTTCGAGAATGGGGAATATTCGGACCAGTCTGGCTATCCTCAACATAGACAGAAGTCTGGCCTACCTTGGAGTGTCTGGTGAGTTTGAGAATGGGGAATATGCGGACCAGTCTGGTTATCCTCAGCATAGACAGAGATTTGGCCTACCTTGGAGTGTCTGGTGAGTTTGAGAATTGGGAATATGGGGACCAGTCTAGTTCTCCTCAACGTAGACATAGGTCTGGCTTAGCTTGGAGTGTCCGGTGGGTTTGAGAATGGGGAATATGCGGACCAGTCTGGTTCTCCTCAACCTAGACAGAGGTCTGGCCTACCTTGGTGTGTCTGGTGTGTTCGAGAATGGGGAATATGCGGACCAGTCTGGCTATCCTCAACATAGACAGAGGTCTGGCCTACCGTGGAGTGTACGGTGAGTTTGAGAATGGGGAATATGCGGACCAGTCTGGTTCTCCTCAACATAGACAGAGGTCTGGCTTAGCTTGGAGTGTCCGGTGAGTTTGAGAATGGGGACTATGCGGACCAGTCTGGCTATCCTCAACATAGACAGAGGTCTGGCCTACCTTGGAGTGTGTGGTGAGTTTGAGTATGGGGAATATGCGGACCAGTCTGGTTCTCTTCAACATAGACAGAGGTCCGGCCTACCTTGGATTGTCTGGTGTGTTTGAGTATGGGTTATATGCGGGTCAGTCTGGTTATCCTTAACATAGACATAGGTCCGGCCTATCTTGGAGTGTCTGGTGAGTTTGAGTATGGGGAATATGCGGACCAGTCTGGTCATCCTCAGCATAGACAGAGGTCTGTCCTACCTTGGAGTGTCTGGTGAGTTTGAGAATGGGGAATATGTGGACCATTCTGTTTATCCTCAACATAGTCAGAGGTCTGGCCTACCTTGGAGTGTCTGGTGAGTTCGAGAATGGGGAATATGCGGACCAGTCTGGTTATCCTCAACATAGACAGAGGTCTGCCCTACCTTGGAGTGTCTGGTGAATTTGAGAATGGGGAATATGCGGACCAGTATGGTTATCCTCAACATAGAAAGAGGTCTGGCCTACCGTGGAGTGTCTGGTGTTTTCGAGAATAGGGAATATTCGGACCAGTCTGGCCATCCTCAACATAGACAGAAGTCTGGCCTACCAGGGAGTGTCTGGTGTGTTCGAGAATGGGGAATATTCGGACCAGTCTGGCTATCCTCAACATAGACAGAAGTCTGGCCTACCTTGGAGTGTCTGGTGAGTTTGAGAATGGGGAATATGCGGACCAGTCTGGTTATCCTCAGCATAGACAGAGATTTGGCCTACCTTGGAGTGTCTGGTGAGTTTGAGAATTGGGAATATGGGGACCAGTCTAGTTCTCCTCAACGTAGACATAGGTCTGGCTTAGCTTGGAGTGTCCGGTGGGTTTGAGAATGGGGAATATGCGGACCAGTCTGGTTCTCCTCAACCTAGACAGAGGTCTGGCCTACCTTGGTGTGTCTGGTGTGTTCGAGAATGGGGAATATGCGGACCAGTCTGGCTATCCTCAACATAGACAGAGGTCTGGCCTACCGTGGAGTGTACGGTGAGTTTGAGAATGGGGAATATGCGGACCAGTCTGGTTCTCCTCAACATAGACAGAAGTCTGGCTTACCTTGGAGTGTCCAGTGAGTTTGAGATAGGGGACTATGCGGCCAGTCTGGCTATCCTCAACATAGACAGAGGTCTGGCCTGCATTGGAGTGTTTGGTGTGTTCGAGAATGGGGAATATGTGGACCAGTCTGGTTATCCTCAACATAGACAGAGGTCTGGCTTACTTTGGAGTGTCTGGTGAGATTGAGAATGGGGAATATGCGGACCAGTCTGGTTATCCTCAGCATAGACAGAGATTTGGCCTACCTTGGAGTGTCTGGTGAATTTGAGAATTGGGAATATGCGGACCAGTCTGGTTCTCCTCAACATAGACAGAGGTCTGGCCTACCTTGGAGTGTCTGGTGTGTTCGAGAATGGGGAATATGAGGACCAGTCTGGTTATCCTCAACACAGAGAGAGGTCTGGCCTACCTTGGAGTGTCTGGTGAGTTTGAGAATGGGGAATATGCGGACCAGTCTGGTTATCCTCAGCATAGACAGAGGTCTTGCCTTCACATTGTCCAACTCGTCTGCCAACATGTCACACTCCACGAACAGAGTGATGTAGAAGGGCAACACTGCGAGGAAGTCGAACACGTTCAAAATCCTCCTCATAAACTGTACTTTGCTCGGACACGTGAACAATCTAAGATGCATCAAGAAAAATGTTTTTATTAAAAAATTAGAAAAAAAATCTCTAATTAAAGGCGCAGGAGTTTTTTTTGTAATTTTTCTAAAAAAAACTTCCTTGTTTAAAAAAAAAGTGGAGACCGATAACTTCCAAAACTAATCGTAAATCTTTCAAAACTATCTCTTTTAGTTCAAGACAAGCCCTAATTAGAAAGAAAGTTTCCAATTGCAGAACATTTTTTTTTCGGCACTAATTTTTGGTTTTAAAAAAAGATCGTTTTTTCATACGGGACTTGAAGTGACCTTGTGATGAATTCGATTGAGAACCAAGTCATGGCCAGACTCTCGACTAGGAAGAGAGTGGAGGAGTGCCGGTGTGTCCTGCGCCTCTTCACTGGAATGATCTCCTTCTGGTGTCCCAAAGAGACATTAGAAGAGACCACGGCAGATGAGTCAGAGGAGGGGGAGAGGGAGGAGGAGTTTGCAGACACTGTCACGAAGTAGAACTCACTTTCCACACACAAAACGATGATAGAGAGCACTATCATAGACACTGAGACTCCTGAAAAAGAAAAAAGAAAACATCCTCTCATTTTGTTGACGGAGACCTGCATTGCGAAACAAATCCAAGCATGTATAAACTCACACGTAGAAATAGCTAAACTTGTTTTATTGACCGTTTCAAAATGGCAGAAGGGTCTCATTGATTTTCTGTGCCTTAGCGAAGTACACTCTTTGTCATTAAAACATGGGCGGATTAAAGGGTGGTCGTCCCCTCTCTTAGGGGATTGGATCCCCATTTGATATTATTCTAAGACATCATTTTTGGACTGCTATACAGCTTTGGCACCAATATACACTACATTTGAAGTCGCGCCAAAAAAAAGCATGATTTTTTGGTCAAAACCTTACAAAAAGTGCCTAAAAACGCCTTTTTTGGCTTTTTTCTTTACAGATTTGTTTACGGCGCAAAAAAATGGTCACAATTGAGTCCTTAAAAAGATTTGTGAGAGCTCAAGAGGCTTTTTCCACTCCCCTACCCACATATCATATTTTCTATTTTCTGAGTTGTCTTGTGTGTTATTATGGCTGAATGCGTATGTGACGATGCAATGTATGAAGAACAAATCTGATCACAATTGTTAGCTTGTTCAGCATGCAAAATTCATTAAATTCTGACAACGTAAAATAGACTTTATTAGTACTGAAATTGAAATATGAGGGGAGTGGAAAAGAGCCGCTCAAGAAATCAGTTTGGTTGACCTAAAACAAAATAAAGGTCGACAAAAATTTCGAACCAAATTTTTACTATTCATGATGTGAATAATCTTTCACGTGAATTACTGAAAAATGTGTTAAATTCCATTCATAAGTAATAAATTATTGGTGTTAAAAGATACAAGTTTTGGATGATATAACAATTGATAAGTAAACAAAGATAATTCAAGACATATGAACAAAGAGTCTTGAATATTGGCAACCAATTTTTTTTTCGAAATTGATAATAATTCAACACCCCCCCAAGAAGCAAAAGGGTCCCCATCAGCAGAAAAGTCACAACTAGCAGAAGGGTCCCAACTAGTACAACTAGGCGAAAGGTGCCACCAGCTGATACGTCCCAAGTAGCAGATCCATAACAACAAGCTGAGGGGTCCCCATCAGCGGAAAAGTCCCAACTAGCAGAAGGGTTCCAGCTAGTTCAACTAGTAGAAATGTCCCACCAGCGGATTCGTCCCAACTAGCAGATTCATCAAAAGCCGAAGCTTTCCCGACAGCAGAAACCTCCCAACTAGCAGAAGGGCCCCCACCAGCGGAACGTCCTACATAGCCGAACGGTCCCCATCTGCGGAGACAAATCCAGGCAAGGCCAGATAATAAGTTAAAACTTTTCTTATTAATTCGCAATTCCTTTTCGAACTGTCCAAACCCATAATTGTGCTACAATTGCGAGATGAAAACAAATATATAGTGATATTTCAAAACTTATAGCTTTCATCGTACCTTGCTTTACTAATTGCTAATCCTCGAGGTGCAAAGGTAGATTTTTTCCGGCTAAAAAATCACTGATAGCCGAAACCTAATAGCAAAGTTTCCTTAACCAAAAAAAGTAAAAAAAAAACGTGAAATCAATGTAACATACCATTTCAACAGTTTTCTCGTAACTAGTGAAAAAAAAACATAAGAACGCTTATAGCGTGGGCTTGCCATTAAAAAAAACTTTAATCAGTGAGGTCTAAGATGTATTCTCATCTTATTCAAAAGGTTAACTTGTATTCTCAGCTAAGTTTTGCCGCAAAAAAAAATTCAACGGTACTTGATACTTAATAGTCGAAATACGTGGTACTTCATAGTTTCTTAAAAGCTTGTAATAATCCTATACGAAATACGCACGCTCGTAGTGCCAACAGGACCGTTGATATCTTTTGTCTACAAAAAAAACAATTGATACCTAAACTTACTTTCATCCAATTCATAACTACTCCTATAACGTTATAATACCATTTCTATAACCTTTTCACAACTTCAACGATGGCTCCAAAAATCACACAAGAAGCGCTCATAAACAAATGGAAGTTTCGCTACACTTCTCTAGAGAGCCTTGAACGACAATTTAGCAGCAAAATTGCACAATCAACGGAGTTAGAGGATGTTAAAATAACGGCCAACGAGCTTCTGAAATGCCTGCAAGAATTGGAAGAGTTGGCAGATGATATAGCGTCGAGCCCTCTAGCAGACGTGCAAACCTCCTTAATGATGCTTCTTCCCTAAGAAGGCGCAAAATGTCGCAAATGAAACAAATGCGACGGTACGAAAACACTACGATGGGATACAGATAAATGACACCTCCAGTCACTCTACTCTTCAACTATCTTCACATACGATTCTTGCGAGCAGTAGTATTCCCGTGCGAACTTCCACTACAACTTATAACAACACGTACAACGTTTCTACGGCAGCCATTACTTTTGATACTACCACGACAACGGTACCATCTAACCCGTTTGTGTTTCCCAGCGAGTCCGTTACGACTACACTACTCAAGGAATATACACTACGACAGCGAACTTGAGATCGATTCAACAGTTTCAATGGCCATCACATCGACGAAAGTGTGCCGATTTCTACAATCAACCCGGTTCCTATGAGAACCCAGAGTTCTCTGGAAATGATCAATATCCACTGAATCCATCACTACAACAACCGCAGACTGGTGCTAATGGTCTCAATATGCACTCTACGGATCGACCGTGCTCAAGAATTGTGACTCCAGTCAATCACGATCTACGTTGTACTGATCAGAGCACGAGCAACAACGCTTTTTATTACAGTCTCAAAGGTTTCAAGTCTCCTGATATTAAGCTCCCAAAGTTCGATGATAATCCGTTCGAATGGAATAATTGGTTTGAGCTGTTCCAAACTGCTATGGGAAACAATCCAAAATTAACTGATGTGGGAAAAATAACTTACCTACAGTACATGTGTGTCGATAAAACCAAAAATGTCGTGGAGAGCTACGGCACGAATTCTTCACAGTATATTCAAGCAATAGAGGAGCTTATTCGCCGATGTGGCGACCCTAAATTTGTTGTTGCAGCGTTTACTAGGTAGCTGGAAAACTTTGAGCGACTACATGTTAATGAGCCTCAAACGTTGGTTAGGTTCGCCGCTTTTCTACGTAAGCTGGTGCGCAACTTCGAACTAAACAACTACACGTCCGACTTGAACTCGAGTAACCTTACTCGACTTGCTCGCACTAAACTTCCCCCAGCAGTCTTGTTCAAATGGGAAGAATACTGCGTACATATTGGGAAGGACTTTGCTACACTCAAAGAACTCACGGACTGGCCCAACAACTACTCTAGAGCTTGCGAGACGTTTTACCCAAAGCACCACGCACTCTTATGGGAAACAAAGATCGGAAAAACAACCAACAACAAAAATCTTTCGTAACCATGCGTAACAGCCAGCATACCGAAAAAAGAGTAACTTCAAGAATGAACAAAGTACATCGAACTGGTTATGTCCGCTACAACAAAGGCCACTACATTGGACACTGCCCAGCTTTTGTAAAACTAACTACGCAACAAAAAACTCAATAGGTGAAGGATAAGCAGTTGTGCTTCAACTGCCTGGGTATCCATAGGTGAACTGACTGTAGTTCTGCAAGATGCTGTATCATAGACAACTGCGGGGGGAAACGCCACTCTACCTTACACAGGAATCAGGATAAAAGTGCGCAGCGGCATACTCAGAAATCCAACAAAATCAATTTGGAAAACCAAATGAATGCAAAATCCGGTTTGAAAAACCAACTCCAATTTGAGCCCATCCTTTTGTTCAACAACAACAAAGCGGTTCCTTGCTATGCAATTCTTGACAATTGCAGTAGCTGTTCTTATGTCCTGAAAAGCACAGCTGATATCTTACAGTGTGAGCCCAGTCGAACAGTTGAATTAAGCATTCGTGGTGCTTTCAGTGAGGACACTGTTTCATCAAATCTGGTTCAACTACACATTGGGCCTTTCAACTCTACTTCTGCTACGTTTACCCTACAATCAGTCTACTCGGTGGAAACCCTCAACTTCGTTTTGATAGATTTCGCAAAACGGAACAACGTATGTTCCCGGTTTGACCATCTACGACACATTGCGTTTCCTAATCTCGTCGAAAATTCGGTACACATTCTACTTGGCGTCGATGCCTTCTGGCATATCGCAGAGAGGCAAATTTTGAAGGGACCTTTCGGCAGTCCCTATGGAGTGCGTAACTTGTTGGGTTAGACGATTACCGGCCCGCTTCATCGAAAGTTTTTAGGTGAGCAGTGCAACTACCATCTAACCATTTTCATAGATATAAAGCAACACGAGGATGCTTCCTAAAATAAAATTGTTAAAAAATTTTGGAAAGTCGAAGAATCTAGAGCAACTTCTATTGTAATTAAAGGTTTTTTTTCAAGCAAACAAACTAAGCAACTATAGTTTATGAAACAAAGCAGTCAACATGACGGAACCCGCTACCGAATGAATTTGCTTTGGAAGAACAACATAACGATGCCAAACAACTACGCTGTTGCTAAAGCCCATCCTGAATCTCTACAACGACGACTACAAAAAGACAAACCAACAATGCAACTCTATGATCAGTCTTTATTAACTGATATTGATAAAGGTTACGTGATATGGTACTGCCACGAATATGGTACTTACCGCACAATCCGGTTATAAATCCCCAGAAAGCTCGACGTGTAACAAATGCCGCATCAAAATTCAGAGGCATTTGTCTCAATTCCTGTTTAGAGACGGGACCGGATCTACTGAATAATATGTTTGTCTTGTTAATGATGTTTAGAAAAAACCAGTAGCTGTTTCTGGTGATATAGAAGGCATGTTTATGCAATAGGCATAAAAGAAGACAATCGAAATGTACTACGATTCTTGTGGCCAACTAATCAAGGAGTTAAGCAGTATCAGTATACGCGTCTAGTCTTCTGAGCTAAATGCTCGCCCGCAATAGCCATCTTTAAACTAGATCAAAAAGCCGTCGACTTCTGCAACAAAGAACACAACATACAGCAACCAATTTATAACAGATTTTACATGGATGACTTCGCTCATTCCTATGACAATAAACTGGAAGCCAAAGAATCAACTAAAGCTTTAAAGATGGCACTCCAAAAGGGAGAATTCAATTTAACCAAGTTCATATCGAATACTACGGAAGCGCTTGAATTCCTCAACGAACCCAAAACTGAAAACAAGAGTCGTGCTCATCGGGTTTTGGGAGTGAAGTGGGACACTATGAATGACACGCGCATCGTTCAGCCCGTACTGAAAAGCAATTTAACGGATAAATAAATGTCTCTACGTAAAATTCTGTCTACTGTAGCCAGATTCTTTGATCCACTGGGATTGATAGCACCATTTGTCATTACACTCAAAATACTGCTTCAAAAGCTTTGGCGATCTGGTATAAGTTGGGATCAAGAAATTCCTCAAGAATATATCCCAAAAATCGAAAAATGGACGCGACAGTGTGGACAAGACAATATTGCGAAATTACCGAGGTTTATAGGCCAAATCGACAGACATAGCGATATACAATTACATGTTTCCACCGATGCTTCTCAGTGCGCCATGGCAGCTTGCATATACATCCGCATTTCGAACCAAGACCATAAACAATCATCATTTATGATTGGAGAAACCAAGGTCGCACCACTTAACCAAAAGGCATACTCAAGCTGGAATTGCAAGCTGCAGTAATTGGTGCTCGTCTTTGCAAATTTACAACCGAAGAGTCTCGGCTAAATTTCAACGCCATTAATTTCTGGACGGGTAGTACGACGGTACTTGCATGGATTAACAGTCCCAAAAAGCAGAAATCTTACTGTGCGAACAGAAATAACGAAATTCTGTCTATTTCTGAAGCCCAACAGTGGCATCATATACCCGGTAAATGGAACCCGGACAATCACGCAATAAGAGGTAGCCCGCTTCAGGACGTGGAACAACTTTTGTTGCAACCAACAGAATTTCTACTCTTCTTAGAATCTGATTGGCTTCAACCAAAACTACAGGACGACGCAGTTACTCAACCAGTTTTCACAACAACAGATAAGGAGAGAACTACTACACTAAAAGTCGACAGTGCGATTCTACATACCAACGCTATGGTGAAACAAGAAAACATTTCTATTAGCGCAAAAAGGGAACCAATCATTGATGTTTCGAGATATTTCAATTGGTTACGTCTACTACGCGCAACTGCACGTGTTTTACAGCTCAAGGACATTCTTCAGCAAAAACGAAAACGCAATTCAAGAATAGCTGACCGGGAGATGTCTAAAATTTTCTCTACGAGCAATCACAACACGCTACTTTCCCTGATACTGTTGAACGCTTAACTACTAACAAAGCATTGGACAAGAAAGATGCTTTACTGCCATACTCACCATTTATGGATGGTAATCTTCTTCGTGCACGAGGACAACTGAGACATTCACCAATGCCAGATGCAACTAAGTACCGTATCAATCTGCATGAAAAAAAAACTTCAATTTAACTTATGATCAAAAACGCACATCATAAATGCATGCACCTCGGCACCGAAATTGTACGACACTACTTGCAACAAAACTTCATAATTTTGGGTCTCTGGAAAGCCTTAAGACACATTCGACACCACTGTTTCTTCTGCCGCCGCTTTTATGGAAAAAATTTAAACCTTTTCATGGCTGATCTACCTGCGCAGCGCTTCGAAGATCCTGAAACTAATGCATATCACTTCAAGAACGTTGTACTTGACTACATTGGTCCATCTACATTGCTGAAAAAGATACCACTGAAAATTTTTTCTATTTGTCTCTTTACGTGTTTAACAACTCGTGCAATCCACCTGGAAACTACCGACAATCTGACAACTGAAAACTGCTTGCAGCAATTCGCAGATTCATGGCACGACTTGGTTCTCCCAAACTAATTCTTTCGGATAACGCAGCCTACTTTGTCGCCGCACGTACACAAATCATGAAACAACCCATAAATATCAACAAAGACGAAATTGCAACCAAGCTTCAGCTGCACTCAATTGACTGGCGCCTTAACCCACCACCTGCTCCTCATTTTTTTGAGATGTGGGAACGTCTCGTTTCAATCATCAAACGAGTCTTTCTGTTAAAATTGGGATTGGATAGACTATCCAAGGATCTTCTTTCAATTATTAAAGTAGAATGCGAAGGCGTCATCAACTCAAGGCCACTGACCCATGTAAGTTAATACATTACCACTCACACCCAACCACTTCCTACTTGGGAGACCATTAATTTACGCTCCCGCAGCTTCATTCTACGACCAAACAAATACCAACAAATTATGCAACAAATCCTGCAAGCTAACCAAGGACCGACTAAACAGCTTCTGGAAGCGACTACTGAAAGAATACGCTCCAACCCTGATCAAACGAACCAAGTGGAACCAAAAAGAGGAAGCCATAGAAAAACACGACCTCGTAGGAATCCTCGAAGACTTTACTCCACGAGACATATGGCCCTTGGGTAAGTTTGTTGAAACGTTTACCGGACTTGTTGGCATTGCATGCTCATGCGTTATCCAAACAGCGTTAGAAACACTTATTAAGACCGCGGCGAAACTAGTTTTAGTAGAACCAAAACCGAATTTTTAGACCGCACTAGCAACTTTATTACGAAGCCCTAACCCCTCTGGTCTCCGTAGCTAATGCCCTCCCCGAGGATATTCATGATGTGAATAATTTTTCACGTGAATTACTGAAAAATGCGGTAAATTCCATTCATAATTAATAATTTATTGGTGTGAAAAGATACAATTTTTGAATGATATAACAATTGACAAGTAAAGAAAAATAGTTCAAGACATATGAAGAAAGAGTCTTGAATTTTTACAAAGTTATTTACGATCACATTTGGAAAAAGATGCGGTTTTTAAAAGTGACTCGTCGTTTTGTAAAAAAGAACAATGATCGCAAGTTTTATTATTTAACTAGCATAGGCGGCCAATCAATCCGTCTACTACTAGGGGCAATCTCTTTCATCAAAGTTTTGTTCACTTAGGGCGAATATATACTTTTTAAGATCAACTAGCCTCAACACATTTATGAATGACTTAAAGCCAGACTAAGTTTGCCCTGATACGATAAGTTTTGTTGTTATGACTTTTGAAGAAAATGACGAAAAATCTGTGGTCTTTTTTTCAATCAAACCAATTTAGTTTTGTTATTTGACCAGTTTTTACAAATGAAGGAATATTTGTGCTCGATGTGGTTTTTTTTCTCCAGAACAACTTCGACGTTTTAACTAGCCTTGTTTGATGGGTTTTTTTTTATATTTGAGTTGAAGTTAAAGAAAATGTTTTACTTGTAATCATTTGTTGTAAAGTAGTGTTGGTTTAAGTATTGCCAATTTGGCCAATTTTGGATAAATAATGGTCGACGTATTTCGTGCTGTTAACGCGTAAGCGGAGTTTTAGTCTGTCTTATACATCGTTCCAAATTGAATTGAGTCATACTATTTGTTCTTTTATTACTTTGCTATATGCGAAACATACAATTTTGTACTTTGGCGGAATGAATTCTGAAAAAAAAACATCAAAATCAATTGATTTTTTGGTTGTTCTTCTGGTTGTTCCAACTGATTTGTGACGGGTTGAAAATATATAACTTAGCACTCGACATTGCGTGCGGGAAAAAATTGGCCAGAAAAGACAATAATTTAACTTTTAATTGAAAATTTCTTCTTTAGAAATTTTTCTGAAATTACTTTAGAAACAATCAAAGGCAGTCGGAATTTGCCTTATTACAAGCAGTGGTTTTTCTACACTTAATTTCAATTTTCAACTAACTTTTTTGACAGAAATTTGTTTTTTTTTTCAATGTGAAAAACGTTGATCTCTTGAGCTTAAAAAGATATCTTTCAATTGTGGCAATTTTTTGTGACCTTATGCAGGAGCGGATCTAAGATTTTCTCGAAGGGGATTTTCAAAATTTTTTGAATTTTGCTCGACTTTTTTAGGTCAACCTGAAAGATATTCCAAGCTCTTCTAAAACACTATGAAGTAAAGACGCTCGTTTGATGCCAGTTTTCCTGCGCCACAGGCACTTTTTGAAAAATCAGGCCAAAAAAGCCGTTTTTGCAGTTCTTACAAAAAAATGCATTTTTTTGGCGCGCGCTTTCCTTCAAAATTAGAATATATTAGCGCCAAAGATGCCCTTAGAAAACTTTTGGGGTGGGTCGGCTGGAAATAGATGTGATAATAAAATGCCAAAGGTGGACTTTTTGGTCGGAGAGGGGCCGAACCCCTGAAAGGAAGGAAGTCGTCCCCCCTTAATCCGCCCGAACCTCATGCGAGTTCAAAAATTGCGGTTTTAACCAATTTGTTATAAAAATTCTAATTACTGCGTTGCGTAGATGGCAGCATTATACAGCAGAAAAATCAGTCCGAATTGTAGTGAAGATTTCCGAAATAAATTGAAACCCTTCCGAAGCTAAATGACGCAATTTTCCGTTGATGGAAGCAAAACTATCCATTTTGTACCTAACACAGCGTCTGGCTTGTGAGGCGAGAATTTTTTGCTAAAAATTTATCAAAAAGGTTAAAGGACAGTTTTGTCTCATAAGCAATCATGTTTTATTTTCGTTCTTAGAATTCTCAGAATTTTCAATTTCCATCACAATTCAATATTGTCTTATAAAGAACTTTCGTTTGAACCTTCCAGTTTGAGTTAGCACACCAAACATGTGAGTTTTTACGTGCAAATACCTGCTACAATTCTGGAGGCAACGGAAGATTCGGGCTTGTCGAAAATCTGCCAGATTCTGCTTTTGAAGCTAATCTGCTCGACGGCTCTTCTGTTACTAGGCGCGACACTCGCTTGGTTAGGACCCGAGCAGTCGTTTTCGTCATTCGTTCGGCTCTTTTTCAGATGTCGGCAATATGTGTCAATGTACTTATCGATGACGTCATCGCCCATTTCGTAGAAAGTGAGCTCTTCTAGGAATTCCTCAGCTGACATGTTTTGAGGCTTGAGCAATTTGCCCCCACTTTGGTAGAAAAAGAAGATGCAGTCGAACGCTTCTCGGTTCCGGTCGAAGAATAGTTCGTTTCTGATTGGATCAAAGAAAGGCTCGTTTCTGTAGCAGTTTCCCAATAGGGTTCTGGGATATCGACTACAGTGATTAAAGAAAACTATATAATTATAGAGGTTCGATAAAAAAGGCTTATAAAATAATAAGAGAAAATTTTAGATTGCAGGTATTGTCATGAGCAGCAGCGGTTTGTGGGGCGTTGGTTGAATAATGTCTTCGGGTAATTTTTTGGTTTATTCAATTTAAAAAGTGTATATATTTGAAAATTTGACCCTTGTTAATAATTTGCCGCATCCAATTTGAACTGAAGCGCTGCTCAATTCAAGTTAATTTTCGAAAGTTGGGGCTTCAATCCAGATCTTGATTCTGGTGAAGTATGATGAAATATGCACCATGCTTTTTGCATTAAATTAAATAAATTTGAAAATATAGGGGATTTTTATAATTTGAGACTGAACTATTTTATTAATATGTTGTTAATTATACCGAATATTAGTCATGCTTGTTTCAAAAATCTGTCCGCAGATGTTGATTCGGATCCGGTCTTGGATTCTGTCCAGATCAAGGAGCTGCGAGGAGAATCTCTGGCACGATTCCGCAGACTGATCGCGCAGGAGAGGCGAGAACTCTAACGTAGCATCGGCCGCTGTTATGCCACCCCCACGACCTGAAAAGTGCTCAATCCGTTTGAAAGCTATCACTGACGCAATATTTTTCGGATCTTTTAAATATAACCAACTATTGCAAAAAAAGAATCATTCATAAGTGGATCAAAATTTGCATATGCTTAATCATTGATTTTGAATTAGTGTTTTAGATGGGTGTACATTCATTACTAGGTACCAAAGGAAACAATTAACAATATTAAGATCCCACTTTTCTATTGGACTACTACATAAAATTTTATCAGTTTTAATAATCTTCGGACCTAAAATCCAGTGTTTTTAGTAACGATAGTTTTCTCGATGAACGCTTGTTAATGATCATTTTTTCGCAGTTGAATACATTTTTTCTAGTTTTTACTAGGCTTCTTTTTTTTTAGAAAAAAAACAAATTTGGTTTCGGCGATTTTGCAACAAATCAATGGCACGAAAAACGACCACAAACAGCAATTAATGTTTCAAAGGACGCGAGGTTCCTAAGATAAGCCTGGTGGATACAGAATGTTTCTTTCCTTTGCCATAAACGCGGTATCAGTTCCGGGCTTTTTTGGATTTATCTTTAGTTCTTTGATTTTATCTTGGATTTATCTTTCCTTTTCTAGAAAGTTCTTGCTAAATTTCATAATTCTTGCAACAATTTTGCAGGGTTCTGCATTCTTCTCGCTCCCACCAAGATTATAAAATATTTTACAATTAACAGAAGTTTTTTAGTCTATTCCGTTTTTGTGTATTCCATATCTGGTTCCAGAGCTTTCCAATAGAACCAATTTTTAATTTTTTTTGTATAATGATTAGTTTTGGCGGAACAAGCCTGAAACCTGCGGCGCCAACAGTTACGGGCTAGAAAATACTAAATTGCGAATATAAAAAAGCTCGGCTGATTTTCCAAAAAAGCCTCTTCAAAAGTTTTCTTCGCACACCACTGCTAAAGATACAAGCACAAATTGCGTGTATGCTAAATAAAATATGTTTTGTTCCAAGTGTCTAAGAAAGTCAGGAAAAAGCTCGGGTGTTTTTTCATTTAGACCAATTTTCAAAAAAATTTTCTCTCGAGGGATCTATCCCTGGATCTTCAAGTGCCACGCCGTGTTCACACACCACTATATTATTCTACAACGAGTCTAGTTAAACTGCTCGTTTTATAAATGATGCTGAAAGTGTAACGCGCGTTATTTATTCATGGGGAAAACAGAGGCAACAAAAATTGTTACGAATTGAACTGAGGCAAGCTAATTGGTTTATTAATTTCAGAGAGGATATTATTAGCATAAAAATCTGAATTTGTCCATACCCACTAGTTGGTCGTCAACCAAAACTACTCGAGACCAGTTAATGGTAGGTAGTCGGAACATTCAGGGCTTTGCGTTACAGCAGTCTTGTCTGCGTTGCATTGGTGGTCGTGCAAAAATATACGCCTTATATACAAAATTCCAAAAATTGGCCGAGATTCAGGCTGAATTTCAGTCTCAAATTTTTAAAACATGTTTTATTTTGCCAGTCATGGGCTTTTGAAATATGAAAATTGCAACCAATAAAATGAAATCTGGGCTGAGCAATTAATAAAATAAATGCAAAAACTCTCAGATGTAGAGTTATGTTTGTTGAGAGTGACTTTTCGGCATTTATAAAATTTTTGAACATTACTTTCTTGTGTTTCTCTAATTTTGTGTTTCAAGAAATCTTAGTTTTTTGCGTCTTTTCTCAACTTTAAGACTCTAGAATTCTAAAAAAAATACATGTGTGTTCTGAAATCATTCTAAATCAAGCAAACTATAATTAAATTCCGAAAGCAACTAATTATGCTACAGCTCACGAAAATTTTTACTGAATGATTGCAGAACACAAATGCAAAAAAATTGCTGAATTATCATTTGATTCTTTTCTCATTCAGTGTTTTTAAAATTCTCAAGTTTTGTTTCAATATTTGCAAACTTTATGAAAAACTTTCGCAAGTATGTTCACTTCTTAGTCTTCAGAACTTGGTACGCTCTTTTTTGTATGCTACTTCGACATTGCATGTTCTACGCTGTCAAAAATTTCTACATGACTAAAAGAAAGCAAAATGTTTGATTATGCGTTTCTAATAGTCATCGAGACTGCTAGTATCAGGGCACAGTCCTGAATGCTCCGACTTCCCTTTTGCTACATTTAGACTGATAATATGAATCGTAATTGAAATTATTAAGACTAAATAGCTCGCCAGAGATTGCTCCCTAATCGAGCTGCAAATGGTCTAAGTAAAAAAGCCAACCCAAACATGTTTTTCCTCACTTTCTTCGAAAACAATTAGAACAAGACTACTCGTATCAGGGCGAAGCCCTGAATGTTCCGACTGCATTTTGAGGTTTTATGGAGCAGTAATAACATTAAAAAATTAAATGTAAGAAAAAATAAAATGAAAATTTTTTTTAACATTTGAATTTTTCTTTTGTGAAAATCATCCCCCCCACGCCATACAAAGTATAAAAGGAAAGATTTCGCTCCGTATAACAAATCAATTATGGCAAATAAGCTTCTTGCAACCAATTTGGAACGATTTTAAGACGGATTAAATCTCCGCTTACGCGTTAATAGCGCGAAATATATCGCGCGTTAATTGTCTCAAATTGGCCAAAATGGCAATCTTTAAACCCCCATTACTTTACGAAAAAAGATCACAGGTGAAATATCTTTTCAAATTCAAGCTCAGGACAACAATAGCTTTCGAATGATATTTAAAAAATTCTGTCAAAAACGGCTAGTTGAAAAGTCGAAATTTGTCTGAAGAAAAAAAAACCCACCCCGAGCACAAATATTCCGTCACTTTCGTATCGAAAGTCGGAACAACAAGAAGGTGCTTGCACAGATTGCCATATATGATTGCCCCAATTACGATAACCTTTGAATATCGTAATTCCGAGTACACAAGAAAAGTTATCTTTGAACATATGTAACAAATATACTTTTATTTTCATTCGGATGATGCAACCTAATGTCTCTTTAATGAAATCTTGCAGATTTGGTATTCTCACCCAGGTCGAGGTGTTGGACTTTTTTATGACCGATTCGAACGCTTTGACTGTGCTCAACTCAAACTAGCCTTGTTTCGACCGACTCGACGAAAGAAAAAATGTGTTCGACTTGTCCGACCCGAGCGCACACTGTTGTAAGCAAAAAACCCGATAAAAGTCAGAACTCCAAACTTGTTTCAGCTATTTTAGAGAGTGTTCGAGCAGGTTTCGATACAGTTTTCGATCATGTTTCGATTTGTGCTCAATTATGTTTCAAATTTGTGATCGACTAAAGTTTTCGCTTGGCCATCAAGATCAATGCTCGTTACTCGATATAGGCAAGCTTGCCCAATCAAGCGAAGGAAGCAGGAAAACGCAAGTAGTTTTCAATCAGAGGCACCGCGACTACTCTCCGTAGCAGCTGAACAGCTCACAGATTTGTATTTCTACTGTTTCAAACAACTGTTTTAACTTTTAACATAGAGATGAAAAAGAACAAGACTGCTCGTATCAGGGCGAAGCCCTGAATGTTCCGACTGCCTTTTAAAGTTTATGGAGCAGCAGTAAAAGCATAAAAAAATTAAATGAAATAAAATAAAATGAAAATTTTTTCTAAAATTTGAAATTTTTTGTGAAAATCATCCCCCCACACGCCATATAAAGTACAAAAACATAGATTTAGCTCCTTGTAACAAATCAATTACGGCAAATAAGCTTCTTTCAACCAATTTGGAACGATTTATAAGACGGATTAAATCTCCGCTTACGCGTTAATCGCGCGAAATATATCGCGCGTTAATTGTCCCAAATTGGTCAAAATGGCCAAAAAGGCAATCTTTAAACCCTCATAACTCTACGAAAAATGATCACAGGTGAAATATTGATTCAAATTGAAGCTCAGGACAACAATACTTTTCGAATGATATAAAAAAAATTCCGTCAAAAATGGCTAGTTAAAAAGTCGAAATTTGTCTGAAGAAAAAAAAACCCTGCCCGAACACAAATATTCCGTTACTTTCGTATCGAAAGTCGGAACAATAAAAAACTCACAGTTTTTATTAGCGCGAGCTCCGGTCGAAATAACATGAAACATAATTCTAACTGCAAATTGGAATAATTTAACCATTCAGTTGCTCATTTCGGATTCTGTTATGCTTTGGCCTCCAATGCGATTAAAATTGGTACATCCTGTCGCTACAAATCCACCGTCACAGTGATAGGTCAACTCGAATGCCAGACAGAGCAGCTATAAACATTTTTGGTCCCTATTTCCAATTGCAACCTTATTTAAATTCAATCGAAAGCTAATCAACTATTGTGAATATAAAAAGAAGCCGAGCTATATGTGCTCCAAAGTCAACACTCAAAATGTGGACATCAAACGCAAAATAAAGTGAACAGGTATCGAATTATAGCAGGGGAAAAGGAGAATAAACTGGTTTTTATTATGCTTTCAACAGCTTAGATGATCGAATATGGGAGACGGTGGGAAAAAGTGCAAAAGTATCTTCTAATCTGGGTCAGTTCCAAATTGAGTCTCAGGTGTGAGGTACAAAAACAAATGAGGCAATTGTGAACTGACATGTCTGACATGTTCAAAGAGCATAGCAACTGATGAAAGAAACATAGAGCTCAGTGTCTATTCAGAAGTTAATGCAGCAGGCCAAATGTCTCTTTTTTTCGAACCATTAGTATTTTTAGAGAAAGAACATGAACGCAAAAATGACAACCAAAAACAATTTTTTTTTCCGTTATTTTTAACTTTGTTCAATTTGATGTAATACGAAAATGTTGAGCAAAATTTGACATTAAAGGGTCACAGTCAGGAGCCAGCAGATATTTCATGGAATCTCTTTAACTCTCCCCCTTCGCAAAAAAGGGGGTTCGTTACTAGGTACCCGGGTTGACCTCCATACACCGAAAATGCTTATCATACAATTCCATACATCAAGTGTGTGGAAAAATGCTTGTCATACAATTTTCATACAATTTCTAAAAATGGTTGAAAAAAGATATAAACTTATTTCTGTGGCTGTTTGATTCTAATAAAAACAGTCTGGTGATAAAAACTGAGGTTTTTGTTTTTCGAAAAAAATGCTTATCATACAATTCCCATATATGGAAATTGTATGACTGGCATTTTTTGATGGCGACTTTTCAAGTAATTTGTAAAGTTTCTCATATATGGGAATTGTATGATAAGGAGTTTCGGTCATCCCGGGTACAACATTTTCAAGTGCTTAACCGATGAATTAATTCTTCGGGGGGGGGGGGGGTGCTGACAATTGTTTACAAGGTTACAAGGTGCCATGATGAGGGGGAGGGGGTATAGTTAAGGAGATCAATTTTACGCTGATGAACCGAGATGGTAACCGCACACTTCAAATGTGAATTCGTAAAGATAAGCTTTGAATAAATTGTTCGCTCTGATTAGTACGGAGAAGTAAGACTTATAGCAACACTTTTTAGCTTGCCTCGCAGATAGCAGACGGCCTTAAGACGAGTGCCTATAAAGAGGCGCCTTTATTGTCCAATTTAGCCCACCTTCCCTGTTTTATCTCTCCCAAGATACACAAAGTTGTTTTTGAATTAATCCCGCGTCTGCACTTTAAATTTAATTACACTACACCCTGCAGAAGTTTGTATGTCATTCTAAAAACGGGAACACGGGTCTTGAATTGCACAATGCATCGCACTTTTTTTATTCGGAGCATTCATTTAGAATTAAAATCAGATGTGAGATTTACAAAAATGGCTTCAAGTTAAAACTGTATAGAAAAACAAGGAGAGCCGGTTGCTGTGCAAGTAGCACAGAATTTTCCGACCATATTCCAAAATATTCCATACCAGTGTCGTTTTTAGCGGGTGGTGTGATTCGAGAACTAAAGGATCGCGTAGAAAATCAGTGAATTAGGCATGATCGACAAAAATTTTTTTTCAAAAATAGAAAGAAAACGAAAACCTTTTTTTCGTCAAATAAGCGTGAAAAAAAAAACATCCAAAACTAGTTTTCTTGCTGTTAAAACCAAGTTTTGTAAGCCTAAAGTTATACAAAAAACTAATTAAATTCCATATAACGAAAGTTGCTCGATCGCGTTTTTCGCTCGAAATTGAACTAAAATTCAAAAGTTTTAAACCAGTTTTTCGCGACAGTGGGAGAACTTTTTGGAATTTTTGATGTCCTTCGAATCACAACTGAAAGGGCTTTATTATTTAAGGGGAAGCAAGAAGTTTAATCTTTAGTTTGATGCACTTTGTTCTTTTGAAAATATTGTAGGATTTTTTTTGAGATACGCTAATTAAAGCAACTCCGAAACAATTACTAGATAAAAAACTCAGTTTGCTTAAAATTGGTACAAAAATAGCACTTCAAAAAAGTTTTTGTTCGAAGAAGACCTGATATGTTTTCGAATTTTAGAAGCAAGCGTTGTCGTTCAGAAAACTATCCAAAACAACTGAATATCGAAACGCCACACGGGAAAGCTATTTCGAGTTTCAAATTTCATAGAAGGCAACGGAAAGTTTATGATTGAATAGCTTAATGCTTTTTAAAAAATGTTCACCTCGATGAAATTATCGGCGCTTTTTTTTTAGTAAAAATCAAAACAATTTTCTAGCTGCAAAAAGTTATGCTCAATTTCAAGAGGTTTGAATACCGCCATTAATAATGATACTATTCCAAATTTTAATAATCCTATGAATCAGTGTAAATATAATCCTCATAAAAATATTTTCTAAACGATATCTAGTAGTATTTAAAAAAACTATTACAAAAATGATATCTCGGAGTATTTGCTAAAAATTTACAAACACAAACTGGAATCGTGTGGGAGAACACAATTAAGCCAACATGGCCCGTTTTCAGGTGTCTCATCAAGAGGAGAACAAGAAAACAAAATTAACTTCCTTGGTCCAATGGACCGTTCGACTGGTAAACATTTTTTAAACGTAAGCCTCTTCACTCCCTCCTTTCAACTCTTTTCTTGAAAAAAAAATATTTGATTTTTGTTTTCTCGGGAAGTCTTCTCTGCCCATGAACTAGAAATCAACAGAACAAAAGTATATATCTCCATATTCAGCAAAAAAAAATCTCACAGCATGCAAAATAAAATCGCAATTCTGAAAATATAATTATTTAACAATTTATGAAAAAATTTTTTCAATCGAATCAGAGAAGCAGTTTTGAAAAAACTGACAGAATTTGGAAAAAAATTAAAACAAATTTAAACATTTATCGAATTTAAGATCTAATTGACCCTCCATCTATTGAGTTTTTTCTAATAGTAGTTATTTTGTGATTTGATTTTCTCTTTGATAAGATCACCTGTAACTCTTGTTCTTTTAATGGCACACACCAGCGGACCAACAAGGAACTCGAACACTTTTCCTGGTTCATTTCAAATTTTTGTGCGCAAAAAAAATCTCTTCGGGTATGTACTTTTTTCTCGAATAATTTTCCCGGTTAATTTCAAAAATTTGTAGGCAAAAAAGTCTCTTCGCTTATATACTTTTTTTTCATGCATTAATTCAGTGGCTGAATCCATCTTAAGCTCATTAATTTTATTTAAATTAGGTTTCTGACTTCCATTTCTGTTTCTAACCATTGGTTTTGTCCGTATTTGAATCAACTAAAAGTCGACACTGAAAGTTTTGTTGCACATAGTTTTTATAAGCAACCATCAATTGCTGTCCTGGTGGTAAAAATTTTCTGACTTGAAAGAAACTCCACAGAACTGCAAAATTTGTTTTTCACCTGATCAATACGCTGATGACATTTTAATTAGCTGTCGCGATGATTTCCAAGATATTTAAAGTTTTCTACATTTTAAATTTGTGCTAAAGAACTTGCTAGTGTGTTTTTGATTTTTTTACGGGACGAGTTTTGATATCATAGCAATCTGAACTCTATTCATTGATTAGGTTTCTGATGACTTCAATGACTTCAGTTGATTCAGATTTTTTTTTCAAAAACAATGATTGCTGATGAAGAATTACCTTATTCTTAATGCAAGTTGGTTTGTTTTGTGCAAGTCTTACGCCAATGATTTCGAAGCAACCGTTAAGCGCTTAGCGTCTTCCTCAGACAGATTATCTGACTTGGAGTTTTTTTCTTTGACTCTCATTCTATTGAAAGTTTAAAAAAACTCCGTTCTAGAATATTTTGATATTATTTTCTTTTTTTTTACGGATGATTGGGTTTTTGACAAGTTTGTTTTGGGTACTATATCTGTTCCGGGCATCTGTTGCTTTAGCTTTCAAAAATTCTTGTCGAAGCCGTCTCCATTTTGTGGCTGAATTCTGTACTTCATTGTCACTCCAAGGATGCTTTCCGTTTTTTTTCAGTAATTGTTGGCCTAATTTAAGCAGGTTTTTTTGAGTATATTTTTGAAGTTGAAATTTACACGAGAATTATTTGTTTTGAGAAAATACATCGGCTAATTATTTATAATAAAACCGTACATAACTCAAGTTACAACATTTTTGATTTTGACGTTGGCTCCTGGGGGAGAAAGGTTGAAATACAATCTTCAAAAATTTTAGTTCACAAAATTTTATTCAAGATCAGTTGAATTTCGATTTTGCCTTCATCCGAACGTCTTTGTTTTCCAAATTTCAAAACGAATATGAGCTGTGCTCCTTATATGGAAAATGTTTCACTCGTGTCTTTTTTAGAATACTTTTTGAGTTCAAATGCAAAACGTGTTTTGCTTGCGATATTTCTTTGTTGAAGTTTGAAATGTTTGATACTGGCTGACCTGACGATCAAATTTAATTCCTTATAAGTTAAATACAATTTGATTCTTTAGTTATTTTATCACGTTTGCCTGTTTTTATCATATTCAATCTCTCTTCCTATGAAAAGACAGAATTTTAAATTAATGAAAAGAAAAAAAGTGAAAAATACTACTAATTTTAAATTTTTTTTTTAAACTTTTAGTTTTTAGTCGTTTCTGAAATCACTCTATTCGAAACTTTCGGCACTATTTACGCTGCAATTTTTTTATTGTTGTTGTTATAATTGGTCAGTTTTCAAACAAGTAATTAATTGTTAGAATTACATTAGAAATCTTTTATATCAATTACACAAATTTAAACCTTTAAAAGATGCTATGTAATATGTTCCAATGTTTGCTGTGAAACCGCGACATTCGATGCGCGTTTTGAAAAACGAAGGTGAAAGAATTGATATGGTTTCTACTTTTGTAGATATATGAGTGTATTAGCGGACCAACATTGTATAAGCTATAGCAGGGGCGGGTCTAGGATTTTCTCGTGGGGCGGGGGAGCGTATCCGCAGTAATTGTTTTTTGGGTCGACAAAATTAATTTTTTGAGCTCTCCCAAATTACTGTAAAGAAGCAATTTTGACCAATTTTTTTGCGCCGCACGCAAATTTTTGAAAAAAAAAGGCCAAAAAAGGCGCGCGCTCCTCCTTCAAAATTAGTATATATTGGCGCCGAAGGAGCCTTTAGAAAAATTTTAAGGTCAACCGTACCTAGTGAATGTTCTAATTCAGATCTGTAATAGTCTTTTTCAGATCTAAATTTCAGATTTGAAATGGCTTGTAAAATGTTAAAATAACGCTTGGATACTCTACTTTACGAATGGGTTATTTCAGATCTAAAACGCATGGGTAAGGCGTGAAAATAAAAAAAAATTGAAAGGTCTTCTATCAGTTTTTGAAACACAGTTGAACAAGAAATTTATTTCGAAAAAATTTTTTGTGAAATGATTCGGAAGTTTCTTTTATCGCTAGTTAATATAAACATAATTAAGCTCTGCAGAAAATCGAAAAACAAAAATTCACTTGTTTGCTCAAAATGCATAAATTATAATACAGCAAAAAGTTTCTCAGATTTAATTTTTTAATTTTAGATCTGAAATTTAGTTTTTCGAGGTTATTTAGGATAATTCACATATGAAATTTCCTATTTCAGATCCAAATTTCAGATCTGAATTTTTCAAAATCTTATCAAGATCTTAATTAAAGAATTTCAGCTCTTGCACCGAAAATCCCCTGGGTACGGGCAGTCTAACAAAAAGGATACCTCAAAATAGTGCAAAGGGGGACCCATTGGGTCGACATGGGGTCGAAGCCCTGAGAGGGAGGGGACGTCCCCCTAAATCCGCCCCTGAGCTATAGTATCTAAAGCACCTCATGAGTATGGTCGGGCATACATTTGTTTTGTTGCTTCATCTTCATTTCTAAAAGCAAGCACTGAACATACATGAGATGGGCATGGCAAGGTTGCTGTAGTGCCAAAAATTCCCCTAGAAATTTAGGGGAGTTTTCTGCCACTTGCTAGGTTTATTAATTTTTGATATTTCAGATCACAAACATTACGAGGCCAAACTGTGCACTGGATAGGCGCACAAATTTGTGTCTGTATGTTCCTGGATTTCAGAGACAAGTCTTTAAACATGTTCCAAAACAGCAAAGAAGATCAAAGATTAGTAGCAATGTTCCGGAATCCGCTTACAATGCACAGAATGCACAGTTTGGCTTCGTATTGAACTGCGTTGTGACAAAAAGTAACCAAAGTGTTCAAATGCGTTCCCGCATCCAAGTTTAGGCGTAAATAATTGGTTATAGCGGATTATTATGATGATTTTTTGACAATTATAATTGATTATAATTACCAAAATTAGGTATTTAAAGGATTTATAATTGATTATAATCGTGTTATTTTCTAAGAGACTATAATCTTTCATAATCGATTATAATTGATTATAATTCTTGCAAAAAACCCTTAGAATCAATTATAATTTATTATAATCGATATAATCTCTTATTTTGCCAAAAATTTGTCAATTCAAAACTATATTCGAATCATTTCTGATGAGTTATTTTTTTGTGTCAATAAAAAAATCTCTAAAAGAGAGATCTCTTGAACACTTTGGTTCATCTGAACACAAAGTTTTACCTCGAAACAAAAATTTCATAGAGATCCTTTCATACTAGTAGAAAGATTCCCGCGGTAGATGAAAAATAAATCTTCCGAATCAATCATGAAACTAAGTCAATTTGCTGATGTTTTGGTGGTTAAAAAGCAAAAAATGTGCATCACAAAACAACTCTAATGGGGAAGTAATGAAAAAAAAACTTTATAAATTTGAATTGATTCGAAAACTTTAAAAATTCTTATTCTCATTTTTCATAGGAGCCAACATCTACAAAAAACATAAAATATCCAACGTCTAACTTCGAAGACAAAATGAACGAACAAAAGGAATTATAATCAATTATAATCGATTATTATGGATTTTTGTGCAAAACTAATAAATTAGAAATTTGAATGAAAATAATGGATTATAATCAATTATAATTGATTATAATTGTATCGAAAATGAACGAATAAATTTTCGATTATAATCAATTATAATGGATTATAATTAATTATAATTTGATCTTAAAATGAGAGATTATAATCGATTATTAATTGATTAAAATCGATTGTTTCTCAATTTTAGTAAGTCTGGTACTAAAATCGTAAAATAATCGATTATTAACGCTTGAAACTGGGTGCGGGTTGTTACATGGCTTTGTTAGAAAGCATTCAAAAGCGTTGTATGTTTAAAGCGTTGTTTATTGAATATTTTTCAGAAAACGCTTATTCATAAAAAAGAACTTACAAAAAAAAGATTTAAGAAAATGTTATCAATTTCCAAATGAACTTTCTCAAATTATTTGCTAGATTTTAAATAAAATGCATAATGAAAAAACTTGAGAAATTTTTACAAATTTTTATTCGTGCAAAAATTTATAACAAAAGAAATTATAGACTAGCTTTATACATTTTTAAATTATTAAATTCAAATAGTTTATTTCATCTCAAATAATATGCATATTTAAAAGCACTTGGGAACAATAGCCACAAAAAATTTACAAAAGCAATAAAAGAGAGAGGAAGTGAGTATAATTTTGTGGCGATGTTGTTTTGAAGAGCATCTCTGACAGGTATGATGTGTGTGCTCATCATCTTCTTTTCACCACGTGGTGTCTCTGAGAGCGGCACTGAAGTCCACCAGCTCCGCCCCCTCCAGTTCCATCTCCTTACGACAGAAGTCCAGGAAGGAGGCCAGGTCACTCTGACTCAGACAGGGGTTCCACAAAGCAGACAGTTACACTTGAACGGAACATATTATATTTGACCAATTGCAAATTGTGGATTATCTCTGGAAGTTAATAAGAAACTTTTGCTATATTGTACGTCAAACTAATATTATGATAAATTCTACAAACATTCAATTTTTATTGTGAAAGCAATGGCTATTGCGTTGCAGATGTCAAAACATGGCCATAGGTATATTCATGGACTTAAATATTGATTGAAAGACTTGGCTGGGAATTCAAAAAGTGTCAGAGATATCAATGATCAATGCACAAAAATGTTGAGAACAAATTAGTGAGCTAAAAATCCCATTAATTTATATCCAATACTGTTTGAAGCAATATGGAGTGTTTAAACTGATCGATAAGGGCGCTAATGCAGAACTTTTTCTGTTGATCGTCAGGAAAATCAGAAAAATATCCTGAATAAAAAGTGCGTAGCATTTAGTTTTTTTTTTAGAATTTTTTACTTGAGTTCTCCCTTTACTTGAGTTTACTTGCAAGCCCTTCAAAAACTTTTCTAATCTAAAAGTAAAAAGATTTGAATCAGTTAATTCACGACTAATAAAACTATTTTTGATGGTTTGCATCTGATAAAATTGATACACTTCCGATCAGAGTTATTTAATGGGACTAAAGACTTTTCCAAAAAAACCTCGTATACGAGAATCACGGAATAGTTTTTTCCTTTATAACGAAATGAAAAATCTATAAAAACGAAACATTGTGGCGGTTCAATTTCAGAAATTTGCGAATATCGTTTTTTTTTTTTAAATAAAACATGTTTTTTCGAATCAATTGTCTTAGGTTCCTGATTCGCGTCTTTCTATTTAATTTCACAGTTTTTATTATCGCAATTTTTTTTGCAGACGAGTTTTTCTCACTAAAATCATTTGTAATGTATGTTTTTTTAATATATTTTAAGGCAATCATAATCATGTCTTGAGTTGAGTGCGTTAAAACGAATTGCCAAAGTTTCAATTATTTTTGGGAGGTTCAAGTTTGCCATTGCCTAATTCAAGTTTTTTTTGCTAGCTATGTTTGGAGTTGTCTTTGAATGCATACCATAGCCTGCAATTCATTCTGACAGAACATCATTATAACATGAAGTGAGGCATCCTAGTGGCAATAATTTGTCACTAGCTGAAAAAAAGTTGATTGTTTTATAGATGACCTTTGCACATGGGAGTAAAAATTACGGCAGAAACATTGAAACGCAGCCTGAAGAATCAAGATTTCACCTCAATTTGATCATGTTTCTTTGTTGTTTCTCTCATGTTTAGTTTTTATTCAGTGATTACAGAAAAAAAATTGCACACATTTTTTTTACCGTAATAAAATATTTAACGATCTCAGCTCTCAGTCACATAAAGTGTTTGCTGCGATGTTTTCAAGTGTAACTATAAAAGAATAAAAGTTACCGGACCAAAACATTGAAATAAGCAAACAAAAATCAAGAGAAAATTATTACGCGAAGAGAAAGTTCGTGTCCACTTCGGATGCGTCAACTAACTCTATCCGGGTTGACGTCCGTAAAAAAAATGCTTATCATACAATTTCATATATGGCGACTATGGAAAAAATGCGTATCATACAGTTTTCATACAAAATTTAAAAATGGTATCAAACGTTTTTAGAGAAATACTTCTGTTCTATCTCCATCTTTTGAATCTTTCTGCTCAATAAAAAAATGATTTTAATTTTGGTAAAAAATTGCTTATCATACTATTTTCATATATGAAAATTGTATGATAAGCAATTTGCTATAGAAAAAATAAAATCTTCAAAATTATTTTAACGATGAGTTTAAATAAAATTTGTTGAAAGAATGCAATTGACTCTCAAAAACATGATTTTAATTTCGGTCAAAAAAATGCTTATCATATAATATTCATATAAGAAAATTGTATGATATGCATTTTTTCAGAAGCAAAAAGGCCAATTTGAGGTAAAAAAGTTTCCAATCCCTCTTTTGGTTGCAAATTTGCTTTTGTGCTCAAATATAAATTTTTGCAAAAAAAATTTTGCATTTAAAATTTGACTTTTTGTGTTTATAACGTAGTCCAGGTTGATTTTTTTTTCACCCAAAAAGTCTAAAAATCACAAAAAATTGTTTTTTTTGTAAATACAATTATTTTTTTTTCATTTGCTAAGATAAAAATAATATTGTAAAAATTTAGGCCTTTTTTCTCAGATTTGTAAAAAAAACAGACTTTTTCTCAATTAATTTTCAAACCAAAAACTATCTAGCCATATTTAAAAAGTTACGTTTTTGATATATAATTCCATGTGAAAACTTAACTAATTAACGTAGGAGGCAAATATCACCATGGAAGTTCATCTGCGTGGTAACTGCCAGTTACACTCTGGGTTTTTTTATGACAAAAAGTCCAGGGTTGGTGTTTCGGACGAAACACAAAATTTCAAAACAAATATTTTTAATATTTTCATTTGTAGAAAAAAGCTTATTATGCAAGTTCATAGTATGGAAAAATGCTTGTCATAATATTTCATAGCATGGAAAAAATGTTTATCATGCTATTTTCATAGTATTTTTTGGTCTATGAAATAGTATGATAAGTCTTTTTTCATAATATGAAATAGTTTGATAAGCATTTTTTATCAACCCGCGTACATGTAATGGCTCTCTCAGGAGGGAGGTGGGACTCTTGACAACCTCTCCTTCCCCTCAGGGATTCGAGCCCATGTACTAGCTTTTGAGAGGGAGAGCGCGCCAAAAAAAACGCGATTTTTTGGTCAAATTTTTCCAAAAAGTGCCCAAAAACGCCTTGCGGCGCAGAAAAATTGGTCAAAATAGGGACCAAACGGTGCTTTGGGAGAGCTCAAAAATCAATTTGGTCGACCTAAAAAAGGTCGACAAAGGTTTCAAAAATTTTTTGAAAATCCCCAGCCTCGAGAAAATCCTACATCCGCCCCTGGGCTCTCTGATGTTTTGTTTCAGCCATTTTTATGATTTGCTGCTTGATTTTTAATTTGGTCGTACTAATATTTTTTTTTGTAACATAGGAACCCCCGCCTTCAACCACTCCTTGAGTTCCCTCAGTTGGTATTTGTTCACATGTGTGGCCACTTTGAGACAAACCGACTTGCTGCACTCCTTCGACTCCGCCCATTCCTTCACTTCAGTATCCACTTTTTTGTTCTTCATATCTAAAATATGGATAATTACCGGATACAATTTTGGTTGAATTGTATAAATTATTTTAACCGGTTTTCGAAGAAAACGGAATTTTCATGATTGGAGTGCTTTATCACTGTATGGTGTAAGAAAGTGTATGGTGTAAGAATATTGATAGAAAAACCAAAAAAAAATTAGTTTGTCTTGAGATATTATTTCTTTAAATATACCAGAGTATTTAAATATACCAATTAAAAAGCCTGTAACTAATTCAGAACTATTTCCTAGACGGACTAAACCTCCGCTTAGGCATCAATCACTTGAATTCTACCACGCGTTAATTATCTTCTCAAATTGGTCAAAATGGCAATCTTTCAACCCCAAAAACTTAAGAAAAAAGATAGCAACTGAAGTATCTTTTTTAAATTTTAGCTCAAAAATATTGAAAGATTAAAAAATTGGTTATTTAAAAATTCGAAATGGTTCAAAAGAAAAAATACATCCCACAACTTTTTTGTATCTTTTTCAAAGTCGGAACAACAATTTTTTGGCAAATATAGATGATAAATAAATCAGGGCAATAAGAGTTGCTCCGTTTTTTACCAAAATGTGATTCAGAATGCTTAATAAGCCCAACATAGGTTAAAAATGATTATTTCCGAAATTTTGTATAAATAACAAATTTTTCAATGATAGTCAACACTGTATTGTTACAATTTTCTGGAAAAAAAATTTCCTTAAGTTTATTTTCAATTTTTTCATACAATTGTTCTAATTGTTATCTAGTGAAAAAATCAAAAATTAACTAATAACAAATTAGGTTTCGAAACTCGCAAAATAAACTGCAGCATAATTGCTCTCGTAAAGTTCGCAGCAGTTTCTGTTTCAAAAAAATTAATTGGCAATGAATAAGTCCAGAGTTTGAGACACGAAATTTCAAAACAGTATCTTTTTTCTATATACCGGACAAAATCAATATGATGAAGAAATGTGCCGATTGCGGCAAAATAAAATGTTCTCCATACCAGCTTAAACCACGCAATTATCATGTACCAAATTGCCACCCTCAACAATTTTTTTAAGCAATATGCTTGCTTTACAGCCTGGGTTTAGCTCACATTGGGCAAAAATAGCGACCTACCGAGTTTCTATCCCGCAATAATCAACTTTGTAGATATTTATGCTAACTCTCGGCAACCAAGCCTTAGCTATAATGAAGTTAAAGGGCTTATCAACTCACACTCTCTTTTGAAAGCTACTAGAATGATTTAAGTTTTCTTATACGTTTTAGCGCTGATTTTCTACGGAGTCATTACTGAAATAGCTCTGAAAAATCGCAGGTTTAGCAATGCTAAAATTTAAGAACTATACCTGCATCGGCGTTGGAAAATAGCAATCACTGGGATAGTACAGAAAAACTGATAATTAGCGATGGGACTTCAACCCGGTGGGATTATATTGACATTAAAAATACTAAGAGTAAAATCCATTTTATGGATTATAATTGATTATTTTGTAATTTTATAGATACATACCATATTATGGCAAAATAATAGATTTTGACCCATGGGCGCCCGGTGCGGGAAGATATCTGTTTTGGTTAGCGACGGTCGCAACATACCTATTTTGAGTCCTAATGGTTGCAACTAATTTCCCAACCTCGGCCCGGGAGGGCATTTTCTTGATAAATTGAGAGTTTCTAAGTGCTAGACCGAATGAACGATATAATCAAAACATAGAGTTCACTGCTCAAACGAGTGCGGATGTGCGAGTGGATGATGTTACAAAAAAATATATTGCCTGATCGTTTTCTTTTCCATAATATGGAACCTGATCTAAACTACATTTTATGATTGGATAAATTAAATGTTTTACCAATGTAAAGTATTTAATATTAACCAATCATGATCCATCTAACTAACAACCCACTTATTTGTAAGTGCTGAAGTTACTTGTAATTTCAGCACCAGAGAGATTTGAATTTAACTTAGAAATTAGTTGGACTCTCCCGAGCACTTCAGCAGCCGCAATAAACCAGTATACCCTAGATCTATTGAGCCTAGCAGAGACTAGTTAAACAACCTGAGACTAGATAGTATAAGAGTAAGATTAGGATCGGTATTAGACTAAGAAGTTGCACGAATCTATCCGGCCGAAAATAAGATAGCGTGACGAGCAGACGGTGTACCCTATCCGAAATTACTCTATGAGTTACACTTCGGTCATAACTCATCTGGTGCGACCATAAGTCTCGAACAAGACCTTACTAGATTAGAATTAACCAAAATTAGATTAGAAATTAGACAAAAACATTTACAAAATGTTATACGACAATAATTTAATTGAAATGTCTCTCCGACTCAATAGATCAGAGCCAATATTCCGAACCATAATAGAACTACCCGGAATTGGAAGAAGACATCGAACCAAAGACGACATACGACAAAGTAGAAACTTGCCGTATAGTTATATGATAGTTCGGCAAAAGCCAGAACAAACTTTTATATTTCGAATACTACTTGCAATGAATTTAGATTTCCATTTGCAAACATAAAACCTTGAAGTTAATCTTCAAAATCATTTCAGGCGCTAAACAAAATTAATATTATACAATAACGATTGATAAAAAGATCTAAGATCGTTTTCCTAAAACTCTGCAGTATTATACAAAACATGTTTGAAAAATATTTATTGGAAAATAAAAATAAAAATTAGTAGCATGACAATAAATGGTTAGTAATCATAAATCATCTTGTTGTTCCAGCTTCATCACCTAAAACATAACAGCAATCATCAACTCACTAATATCATCAAAACACTAAATCTTTCCTTTACACACATCTAAAATTTTATTAAAACTTAAAGTCACTTAATTTTAAAACCAGATCATCAAGGCTTATCCTTGGATCTTAAATCATTTTCTACTTAATTAAAATTCAAATTTGATCATCAAGGCTTATCCTTGGATCAAACAGAACAACTTTGTTCTCCCCCACCCACTTAATTAGTGTCTAACGACCTCAAACGTCGATTCACTACCCAACCCTTTCTAAAGACCCAAGACTAATAGAAATTTTTAAACAAAACTAATCATTCAAATTAGGATAAACAGTGAAGAACTTCGGTTAATCATCCTTCACTTGACCCCCCCTCTTACCAGACCCAGGATAAATCTTAGACTTAGTAAGTTTAAAATAGTATCTAACGAACTACTCGCGTTCTAATTATACCTGAACCTTGTGGATCGATTTACTATTCTCCAACCCTTGAACACAATCACTACCCCTAAGTAAGATTAAGTAAGTTAACACCTTAGCTTATACTAGTCACGAGAAAGTAAAAATCATTCTTCGGAATCGATATACTTTTCTCTCCAACCCTGAACAAATAGACCCAGGTTAAGCTAACCAAAAAATCGTAAAACTAACAGTTTAGGAAAATAGAAATCATTTAACAACCTTTTGCATCCGTCATCCTAAACCTTATGTCATTTAAAAACCTAGGAAATAAACAAACAATCATTTTACACAATTGTGAAATAGATAACAAAAAATACGACCTTGTAATCACACCTCATACACAAACAGTTGGATACATTCGAACAAAACGACAAACACTAAAGAGAAAAATAATAACTAAACAAAGACAAATAACACGAAGAAGATTTTCAAAAAATCGAAACGCATTTTCAGAATCAGAAACCAACAGTTTAGACGAACTTTACAAACTAAAAGAATCAATAGATAAAAATTACCCACTTCACGATCAATTATATTTTTCTGACTCAGAAACAACTTCAAATTCATCACAAAGAGGAAAAAGAAGAATAAAAAAACAGTACAAACACAAACCAGTACATTTATACAATTGGAATCAACCAATTCGACACATTAATAATTACATATTAACAGTCATCGAACGGAAAAATGAGTTCAACGCACACCCCAGGTGACGAAACTCCAGATGATGATGAAATCTTTCCTTTTATAGTAGACGCAGATACTGATAGAGGACAACACATATTTTGTCAAAATTTACTCGTAAATTTATTTGAACCCGGAATCAGTCCATGTAAAACAGAGTTCCCCGATGTAAAAATCAAAAGACAAATCATAGACCACTACTTAAAAGATATATGCAACATAACACAACAGTATGGAATCTACTCCATAGAGTTCACTTCCCCAAACCATAATAATAGAACATATACTATTCAAACAGACGATCTTGATTTAGAATTTTCAAAAGTTTTTTCAGAATATATAAAAAGCATCCAATACCATAACTCACAAAGAGCAAACTCCATTTTCACCAATGAAGTTTTCGCAATAATATATAGTTATATTTCGATATTAGAAAACGAAATCCCATTAACAAATGTCTCACCGACAGAAACATCTAAACATTTAAGAGTACGACATGAAATCACACTACTCTCTAGTTATTTAAACATCATTAAAGAAAATTTCACGAAAGACGACGTTTCACAACATACCAAACACGATTTACAAAAAATTTTGGCATGGTTCATAATAGATTATTTCACACACAATATTGATTTAATTGCACAAGCAAGAAAAAATTTTAGACCCCAAAATTCGAACGATGATACCGCTATCACAGAACAATCAGATTATGTTTGGGACCCCGAATGGTCTCATCCCGCATTTATAAGCTTTCCACAATCAATCTCAAGTCAAGCAATAGGTACAATATCTTACATAAGAGATTACGTAAGAGTAATACCATTAACAATTGATGCAACACCATTAAACTATAATACATTTTTACCCGATACACAAAATAATAGTTTAAACTCTACAGTCATACACAACGAAAACCTCAATGGAACTAGGAATCTTACTCAACAAGATATCCAGACACCATCACACTTCATAAATGAAGAAATTGTACACACAACAACTACACAACAAAGTATTTCACCAATACGCCCAAATTTAATAACACCAAGAAATACAAATCCTTCACAAACACAGGTAACCTTACAATCAACCGTTAAACCTTCGGTTGC